GTATAAATCAACACAAATAGTCCACTGGACACTAGGTTACATTAGGTACGTTATATAAAAGGTTTTACCCCAGGGTATAAATCAACACAAATAGTCCACTGGACACTAGGTTACATTAGGTATAATTTTGAAGGTTTTACACCAAATACGTTGTATAAAATAGTCCGCTGGACATGAACAATTGTTTTCTGTGAATAGGTTGAATAGGTTGTTGATCAATTATTTTCCTTTTTCTTCATAACCCATTGTAGACTTACCGTTTTGCTTGCCCAGAACCTTCGTGTATAACTTGTATAGGTTGGAGAAGTTATTTCAGCTAAACAAATTTTTTTTCTTTTTTTACCATATTTTCTTACCATGCTTTTCTTTTTTTGCCAATGCTTTTGCGAATTTTAAGCCACACCTATTCTGTCAGATAAATGCTGTTGAACTAATCTTTCAGCACATTCGAAATTTGTCTGTCAACCTTCACATGTTGCTATGTCTCGTTAACCTTCACATGCAGTTCCCTCCTTATTCATATCTCGTCTTCGTTTCGTTTCTTTTTTTTTGCAATCCGATATGCCTCAGTCTTAAATTCTTTGATTCAGGAATTTTAAGCCAGTGAAATTTCAAGAATGTTTTTTTTTCCAAAAAAAATAATATCATGCAAATTACTGTTTTCTTTGATAAGTCTTGTTGTGTAATTGTCGATACAATATGGATGGTTTCTTTTTCAGGGATATATTTTTTATAACAAATTTTGTATTCTTTGTAGATTTCCAATATCATAAGTTGCAAATTTATGGGGATCACCTCATTAATTCATTAATCTTTTCTCCCACCTCATAAGTTCATTAATGTTTTCTCTGGTTTATGTGTTGAACATTCTTTCTTGCATCGAGGGAACATTTTCTATTGAGAGCATCTTGTTTTGAGAATGTTTTTTTTCTTGCATTTGTATTGTGAACATTTTGTAAATCATTCTTCGTTTGTATATTGAGGATGTTGATGACGTAGGATTTTGCTTCGTATGGGGTTTGTATACTGCTTACGGGGTTGTGAAATCTGACATATCCACCTCACTTGCGTAATCCAAACGGGATTTTTTTCAAATACACACGACCTTGACCATAACCATTGTTTTTCAGTTGTCGTTTTTCATAACGTACACTTTTCCACTGCGTTTTGTGTGCACTTTTACACTAACCTTTTCTACCATTTCTTTTTTTTCCCTTTTTGACCATTTCTTTTTTACCATTTCTTTTTTCTAGATAAATTATGTGGGTCGTACAACTATACCCTTACAACACCCTTTTATGATGACTATGTGTGGACCCACACAGTGTGGTAAAACACATTTGATAATAAAAATAATTGAGAACATCGACGAAATGATCGAACCTACACCTGACAAACTACTATACTTATACACTGCTTATCAGGATTGCTACGACACGATTAAACAAACGATACGTAAAAACGCCGCAACGTCCAATTTAAAAACATTCGAGTTTATCGATTGCAAAAAAGGTATCCCTACAATTGAATTTCTTAAAAGCAAATTGGGCACGGCAACACTATTAATTTTAGATGATCTGATGATTTTAGCGGCTGCAACCACTAAGGATACGGAAAATTTAAATAACATAGCATCACGTGACAGCCATCATTTTAATACCTCCGTTATTTTTGTATGTCAAAATTTAAATTACGGTAATGGAAAATTGCGTAATGTTCGTGTCAACAGTCAATATCATTTGATGTTTAAGAATCGCTCGGACAGTAGAGATGTAGAAATGATTGGGTCGAATAAGAAAATTAAATTAGAGAAATTAAATAATATCATGCATGATATTGGACAAAAACAACATGGATATTTGTTGTTTGACGGTGCGGCACGGGGTTGTGATAATACACGTGTACGTACGGGTATCTTACCCAAAGATGATACCCTTATTTATGATTTAGCATCAGAAATATAAAAAATTTGTAAAAAATATTTGTAAATTTTTATTTCAATAAAAAATGAATTATAACATGGTGTGCATTTCTATAAATGTTTTACAAATTTGTCCCTTTGCACGTTGACATTTGTCTTTGTAAATTTTTGCTAGGGATGGGAAAAAATGGTAAGCCACTTTTTGTAAATTTCGTTCATTGACCAAAAGTTCATCAGAACTTAACTTCTTCAAAATAGTATTGGGTTGCCATTGGTCAAGTAGAAATAGTAAACACCATACACCGCAAGTACGACTAATGTAAGACTGTCGTTGAATATGGGAATACATTGTTATATTGCACCCTAAATCTTGAAAATAGTTCAACCAATAACCGCGTTTAAAAAACGCCGGTGTTTTTCCATAACTATCAAAGAAAATAATCTGTTTTCCATGTTTGGCTACGCCCACCCAATGAGCACCAGGTTTATCAGCTTCATCTGTATTCCATACCCAACAACAATTTTCACGTATATTCTCGGGTGTAATATTAGCAGGATAACAACCAAGATAGTAGGGTTGAATTACAACATTGTGATTAGCCAATGTGGTAATATCATCCGTATTAAGAAATTTACTGAGAAAACACGTTAAACTAGACATAGTCATCGACAATAAATTCACGACCTCTTAAACGCCCGCTAGATAAAGTTGATGATGCTCTTCGTCTCGGGGCTCTATGTATTTGTGGCGTTTCCCTGGAACTCTCCCCACCACTATTATCGCTAACATTTGCTTTTTGTCTCATATAATTCTTACGTATTCTATCATTACGAATGAAAGAACCTGGCATTTTGACTGAATTTAAAAATTTTAATCTTTCTGTTTCTTCACGTTGGGTTAAATTACCATCCGATTTACCGTTGTGTGTTAAATCGTATAGTAAATCTTCGTAAGAAACATTAATTGATTTACTACCGCTTTTTACACCCTTACTTGTTCTTGTAACACCATTTCTTTTTAAAAACCCTTCGATCAGATTGCGCGAAGCAGCTACACTATTTCGAGACCCCACCCCGGTCGGTGGGTTGGGTTCACCCCCCGCCTCCGCGGCAGGGGGTGCGGGGGCAGCGGCGGTACCCATCTCCCTCAGTTTTCTTTTTTTATGCATATAATTGACAATATCAGTACCAGCTTGACCACTTTTATTTTTAACACTTTGTAATACATCATGATAACTTTCTACAAACTCGTCTTCTTCACGAGAATTTTTAGCTATATCAACAATTTTTTTACGTTCGGCAACTTGTTCCAACGTGCTAAGAAGTTTATTGAATCGTTCGTTGTCAACAAGTCTTAGACGTTGTACGTGATCGCTCATCTTACAAACTACTTTCAACGGTTTTTAAAGCTTCGTCTAAAATTGCGTGTGTGCGAAAATCCTCAACAAACATACATTTAATATCTGCAGGGTGCGTAGTCTTATTAAGTAGACGTTTGAGAACCACCGTTCCGTATAACCTATATTTACAGGTATTTTACCGGATAAAATATGACGACATAAATATGATAAATTTCTTGAAATACTAGGGGTAATTTGTTTAGTTTTTTGATTCATTGATAAAGTTAAAAACCGTTTTGTAGAGGGTATAAATTTAGATTGTTCTTGTTTACGTCTCTGTAAATTATCTGCATTTAATTCTAATAATTGTTTTAAAGCGGTTTTTAATACGCCCTCGTCAATACCCTGGGGTGATTGATTTGTATTCTCATTTAACCATGTGACGTCTTCCTCGTCCTCGTCACAACCCTCGTCACAACCCTCGTCACAACCCTCGTCTTCCCCCTCTTCACCATTTTCATAGTCGTTGACAGTGTCATGAACAACTTCCGCTATGGTGTCGTTAATGACATCGTTTTCATTTTCATTTTTTTCAGGGGTATTCTCGTTGTCTTCGTCATTACATTCATTGATATCATGTTGTTCGTTTTCTTCAGCCATATTGTGAAATTATAGGATAAACGTGTATTGTTTGTAGGGCAACACCGTGTTTACTAATAACTAAACCCTTGGGTGGGGGTAATACTTTTGAAGCTTTTGACTTCCGCTTTTCCTTCTTTGACGACGGCATGTTAATAAATGAAATATTTTGTTCAATAAAAATATATATATTAATAATCGTACTTATTTCGAGCTCGTGTATGATAGCCCAAATTAAGCTGATTACGAAATTCACCAATACAAATTAGCTGTTGATCAGCACCCGTAGCTTGGGTAAAGGTCATGTCAAGACTGACAATACCACTTGTCGAATTGGGTAACATCTGATTATAGCTATCTTTATTGGTTGTCAAGTCTGACACAATCATACCATAACTAGATACATAATCGTCGTAACTAAAAGGCATTTCACTATAACGACGATCTAAAACTCGTCGTAATTCTACATAAGCTTCTTGACTATTATGAATTTCGGGAGGTACTATAGCTTCGTTGATTTTGATTGCAAACTGATTGATGTCGGGAAAAGCCATAAGATTTGGGTTTAATTGATGTGCACCATTGTAACGAGCTTGTGTTTTCACGTAGACAATGGTACGTGCAGGTCGGGCGCCGTTAAACATATCATTCCATTGTACACGTTGCGCACCTGCTGCCATGGGTTTGGCCACATAACGATAATTGGTAGTGTAAAATTTACATTCTTCGCTTTTCTGAATCATAGATTCATTGATAGCTTCAGCCAGCTGTGCTACGGGTTTGAACACAGGAATGTGTACATGTAGATCATGCAATTCCATTTTAGCAGCTTGAGCATCTGCAGTCGTACCAAAGATATATTTCACTTTTTCTAACCGTGTTAGTACAACTTTTATTTCCATTGAAGAAGGTAGGTAACGACGATTATGACCTAGTAGATCAATATCATCAATGACATAATTTTCTGCACCATTGTCAAATAGTGTACCCCGTCTACCTGCACCTTTGTTGACACATGTGGCTTCTGTATAACTATCGATTCGTGTACGATCATCCATATGACCCGGTGTGTCGAGATAACCCAGGCATACTTTTTCAAAACCATTATAACCCGAGGGTACCCGAGTAAGAAGATAATTTACATAATTCAACTCAGATTCATAGGCTGTAATAGGTTGAATTAGATCACCATTTACATGGACCTCTTTTGATTTCCAACCCAATCTAAGGGGTAGCGGTAAAGGTGCAATAATTTGACCAGCAGCCGGCACGGCATGAGGTCCGGCTACATTTCTAAATCTCATTTTTGCACGAATCGTTGCATCTTCTGTACGCAATATACCATAGGGTTGATTATGATGTACAAACGTATAAACATCAGCGTCTGCATTTACGGGTGAAGCGTTAATTTTAACTTCACGACTTTCTTCAAATGTAGCATTGTGTGGAAATGTTGCAAACATAGCCAGCGGGCCCATAAACCCACTGTCATGTTTTTCCACACGCAACTCATTTTCTTCACGTGCACGTTTACTCATTGTGATGCAGTTACGAATAAAACACTACACGTCAAAAACGTACTATTAAGAAAAACAACTAAGACAAAACTGTTAGAATTAAAAGTATTTTTATTGAAATATTTTATTTACCAATATTTACTTTTAATATTTTCCCTAATGTTCCTAATAACATAGGTGCCATCATTCCAATTGCGATTCCTGCACCTATGGCACCACCCTTTTGTCTAGGGTAGTTTCTAACCATTTGAACACGCGCACCGAATTTCTTTTGAACACGCCCTTTCTTGACACGACAACGACGTTTACGACGACCCATTCAAAATGCGTTGAAGCACTTTTTTATCTACTGTGTATACGTAGATAAAAAAATATATAGTTTACGTCCTCGTTTTTGTTGTTGTTGTTGTTGTTGTTGTTGTTGTTGTTGTTGTTGTTGTTGTTGTTGTTGTTGTGGTTGTTCTACTCGCGGTATTTTACCAGGTCGTACGCTTGTTGTATTATAAATGGGGTTTAATTGAGGTGGTGGTGCGATTTGTTTTAATGCACGCTCTTCGGTACTTTTTGCACAGCCACCGGGTAACATATATATATATATATTACTGTTTTTATAACGTTGTCCTTCACCTGATAATAAACGTAAATAGTCACTTTTTTCCATTGTACACACACACACACACACACACACACACACACACACACACACACACACACACACACAAATAGTCAGTGAACAGTGTAAAGTAAAATCACTCTTTTTTATTCAGCGTCTTCAAAAATATTTAAATGTATTACAACCTTTTTACCGTTGTTATTCGTCAATGATGACGATGTTAAATCGGACCATAATAAATGAAAATAAACTGTTTCTTTTAATTCGTCTATATTTTGTAAAAATAAAAAATTTGGGATTTCCTTTTTTTTTTAAATTATACTCTTTATCAGCGATGTTTCCTTCTCGTATTTGTAGCAACGCGTGAGATGTGTGACACATGTATTGATGGTCTCGTTTTAATATACCATCATCAAACAAATTTGCACCGTGATGAAATTCACCACCTCGCCCCACGAGTACTGTGCGTATATCGTCGTCCTCACTTTGACCAATATTTAATTTTCTAGCATAATGTATATGACACTCTATCCAACCTGGAGAAAAATTGGCTTTGCAGAAGGATACATTGTAAAATCTTTTTTTCTTTATTATTTCATACTTTACTACACCTTGCAATATGTACGATGTGGGAATTAATTCATGATTTTGCACCGTTAGTTCTAAACGAAGCATTATTCCACTACACACTCGATCGAAACAGTTCCCGCCGAAAAGGGTATAAGTGTGTTGGTCTTGTCGTATATACCTATATTTAAATGTAAAATTTTGGATTTAATCATAGCTCTAGACACAGCCGGTGGGTTATAACTACACAATGAAGCACTTCCCTGAGCTTCCACGTACATTAATAGGTACAATAGCTAAAAGTCTAGCTTTAACATCGCCGACGGTACATTGTTCTACTTCGTCGCAGTAAATAAAAAATTCCGTTATTCCATTGCTGATATCAGGTAAAAATTTCCCATAAAACGTATAATGTTCGGGCAATTTAGCAGCCATTAATATGAACATCATCGGGTATGTTTTTCCATAAGCACCTATGTCAATAGCTTCCTGTACCACAGGGTGCACGACCCATTCAGTCAAACCCAACATATATGTCAAATGATCGGTCATTACTATTTCGAAACCCGTTATTGTGGCCTTATGTGTACTAGACACCATTTGATTGCTATAAGTCATACCGTCACCCCCTACCGATAAATTACGCACGTATGTTAGATTGGGATAAAACTGAACACCGACACGACCACCTCGTTGTAGTACAAATGTCACATCGTACTCCTCCACATACATATTTAGAACTTTTAACATTTCCTTTACACTATAATGACCAGCAGGTAAATACATCATATGTGTCTGATAATGTAGACGTTCGGATCCACCGCGAAACCCTTGAAAGTAATAACGCAAACGTATACCACATTTTTTTTCTTTTACATTTTCGATTGTCTGAGGATAATTTACATTCACAACGCGTATATGTTTACGGCTATTTTCGGCATCAATCATCTCGGGAAGAGACATTGTAAAAATATTATTGAAATTTTCACGTCCCACATCATTTCGTGCGTTGCTCATAATTTGTATATTCATGTTGGTTGTAGTTCTTCACGATAAAAAATACCCTGAATTTTTTCACCGTTACTGTCCGCTAATTCGTACGTTACAGGGTCTGTAATAAACACTTTTTTTACACGGAATGTTTCACGCACCCAACGTTGTAAACTGGATTTTTCAAAAACATTATTTTTTATACGCGATATACGAACGGTCGCACCTACACGTAATAAACCCCGTGTAGGTTTTGAACCGTTCAACCTACTTTTTAAAAGACGAAATTCATTTAGTTTTTTCCCTTTAATATATAGATCTTTTGGGGATTGACCAAATAGACTTCGATGTGGAGATTCATTGTAACGTTCCAGAATCAAGGGTAAATAATTAATGTATCGGTGACCTAGATCTAATGTGGTCAACATACTCATAATCATTTGTTTCAATGTTTGAATAAATCGTTCCGCATGCACGGCTTTCGTTTCGCGGTTGAACGTATGCAACACTGTGAAATTATATTTCGGCGCAAGTTTACGTTTAATCATTGAAAATTCGCTACCCTCGTCACATTGTACTTTTAAAGGTCGGGTCTTATTTTCCAAAAGAATTTCCTCAAATTTTTTACCAACATTATTTGCAGTTTACTTCTTTAGTAATTTCACAAACACATAACGCGTATACACATCAACACAGACAAGAATATAACGATATTGATTGTTGTATCCAGACAAGTTATTTAAATCAGCTAAATCAATACTCCATTGTGCATTAGGTTTATTTACATAAATTTTTAATCGTTTATATTTATGACGTCTTTTTGCATGCAATGAATACGCATCTAATTGTTCTTTAGTAAGTTTTTCACCTTTTAATAAGCGAGACGCTTTTTTAATAAGTTCATCAGCAATAAATTTCACGGGTTTTTTTCTCTTGCTCATCATTACTGAAAAATGAATAATAAAAAAACCAACTAAGTATCACACTTTATACCCTTCCTTCAATCGATTTAATATTCGTTGTTCAATTAAAGGAAAATTTACAGATTTTATTAACCCTATATAATCGTATACACATTCTTTATTTAACTCTTCATGATAATAAAACACCGTCTCTTTTGCGTCTAACTTTGTCTTAAGCATATACTGGAATAACACTGCTATGGGTTTAGTTGAGTACTATAGAAAAAAAATTAATCCCATGTTACAATACTAGCACTTTCTTGAGAGCTATTATATTTATGTAATTTATTTTTGTGTTCCTCCTTGTTCAACAGCTCACTCATCCTTTTTAATTCAGCATCGCCCACGCGAATCATAAGCGCATAATCATACGGTAGCATTTTATTTATTTCAACACCGTATTTGCCCCATACTTCTGACGATGATAAATTGTAGAAATACATATAACTTAGTAGATGTGATACAGCCTCTTCGAATCTTACCTCTTTAATACGTTTACGTTTGGGTTTTGGTAAAACTGTATTTTTAGTTTTATCATCAGCCACTCCAGACAAGGGAATTTGTTCCACACCAGATTTCACAGGTTCTGCTGAGGAGGTAGGTAATCGAGACTCTTGATCAACACGATGTACGTTGCTTACGTCAACACAAAACTCTCGCAGTTGACTTGCAAGGTAATTCCAATTATCTTTTTTGGATATGTAAAATTTTTCAAAGCACTCGTTCCATTTAAGATTTGTTACGAGGTCTTCGCTTGCTATCTTTTCCACAGGGTCTGGATCTAGATCTTCTGAAGTTTCGTCGCTATCACACGCCATTTCAAGATCTTCCCCCACAGCTTTGTGATAACATAACAGAAGACCTTGATACTCGCTGTCTTTGAGTACCAAACGTAATAGGTCACCCTTCCAATCGGTGCTTTCGGAAATCTGAAAATAATTTGTACCCGTACGATTCGCTTTGTCGAGACATTCGCAAACTCTTAACATATCGTCGGGCGACAACTGAACTGCAGATTTGTACAGTGCTTTGCCGATATTTGTTGTTGGTTGAGCTTTAGCGAGAAAACATTTTCCACCGCTGCTACCCCTTTCAAACCAAACAATTTTAATACTTTTATCAGCATATTGTGCTAGTACCCGTTGCTCTAAAGCAAAACGTCTACTATAAATTTCCACAGATTTTTTACCTAACTGTTGTTGTGCCATCGTTTTTAAGCGGTGTGACAGATGAGAATCAATTGCATGTGGACCAACATTTATACGCAAACACACCACACGCACAAATAACTGCAAACCCTATAAGGTAATACTTTGCGATAGACCCCTGTATATCGTCCACAACTTCCTGTACAATTTCGCTAATTTTATGTAGAAAAAAATATTTTTTACTCGTTTCCGAAAACATAAGCCCACCATATACTGTATTGATAAAATATGACAACGCGATGTAGTATATCCGATGACGTATACTGTTTTTAATATTAAAGACACTCAACAACGCATACATTATATCCACTAAACACGTATTGTCAAATTCTTGACGCAGTATATCGTACACGTTAGCTGGAAAATTTGCAACCATACAATCAATACGTGCCATAAACTCGTCAAATAAAAGGTCACTATGAAATTTATAATAACCATACCAGCTGTTTGTAGTGTAAAACATGACGTAAATGAACAGCGTACCCTAACACTTGCTTATAACCAAAACATTAAGTGATGATTACACAGTCGACTTGTTAAACCCTCAAACCCATTTAAAGATGTTATATTGTGATAAAAAAGTAATATCAGCTCGTAAACACAATCGTGCAGATAAATACTGTACTTTAAATAATGTGTTTTTAGCAGCGTCCATATCTCTGCATGTGTTGACAGAGATTGTTTTTCCAACACATACTCGCGTATTGATACAACCACAGCACGTAAAATATGATTACCATTATCAAAACTTAATACAGACAACATTCCACACAAGTTGCGTCTTATACGCATACGTAGGGATGAATAAACCCCTTCGTACGTAAATATAAAATTATCTCCGTCACGAGTAAATTTTAATACACCCTTACATATGTGAAAAATCCCTCTACAGTAAAAAGTAAACCCATCACGCATATCCCCATCATCAGGACGATATATTGACATATTTTTCCATCTGTATACAACTGCTGCTTAACTCATTTATATGATTATAAAAATGCAACACTGACTTTTCCACATACGTACACGTTTCTATAGTTACTCTATTACACAATTCTTCATAATTTAACAATCTTTCAACACATAAACGAATAAAATACTCTAAAAAACCCTTAAACATTCGACTACCTAATTCATATCTCACTTTAACGGTTTGTTTATCAATTTGTTCTACAACTACAGTTTCATAAAAATGTACGGTAGGTACGTCCACATAATTAGCATGAAAAATAAAATACTGTTTACGCCCCTTCGCAAAATAACGCTGTAAACCCAAAGTGTATTTTAATATTTTAAATTCACCGTCAGTTACAAATGTTATTTCACGCTTTTGATGATGAACTTGTAAAATTTTAGTAAACAACGGCATATTCACGTTTATATTTCAACCACGTTAATTGCTGACCATACGGCGCTTCCAGACCCCACCAATATAAGGTTTCGCAAAGAAAGCGTCCCAAATACTCCAATCTTTAATAACAATACTTTGACTTCTAATTAAGTAATGATGTATCTCGTCTGTAGGGTAAAATGTTGCGTAAAAATTGACAAAAACGGAAGAACATAAACGCATAAAATCACGAATATAACTTGACACAAGAGCTTCGGTTAATCCATACTGTATTTCCCTTCCACGTCTTGTTAGAGTAAACGAAAGTGTATTTAAATCCACATACACTACGAACGCTTGTCTTCGTTTATAAATCAGCAAAAATGTAAACGTGTCATTGTCACAATGAGTTAATAATCTTTCAAACAATACAACATACTTGTAAAAGTGGCCCTGTGATATTATGGTCCCCATTTTTTAAAAAATATCACATTAGATAACACTAAATTAAATTCAAGAATTAAAAACCTGATAACTTTTTTTTTAGAAATTCTTAAATAACACGTGTAGACTACAAAAACTTATCATTTTCAACATGGGTAAGAAACAAAAAGGTGGTAACTTCAGGGGTAAAAGACAGCAACGTGCTAAAAAACAAGATGGGTTTTTTTTGCCTTTTTCCTTTTTAGGTCAACTCTTTGGTGGTGGGGGTAGGAGAAGACGTGCGCCACAGCGACGCCGCAGACCCCCACCCCCCCAATATTACAGAGCACCACCACCCCAATACAGAGCACCACCCCCACAGGGTCGCATACAAAAACGGTATCGGCAACGAGGTGGGTTTCTAACAGATTCTATAAACACGGGTATACTAGATCATTATGGTAAACATAAACACCCAACTGAATCTAAGAAAAACCAAAAAGGTGGCTACATGCATAAAAGAGTCAAAAACGCCTTCTGGTAAAAAAAAAATTACTTTCCCTTTCAGGTGGGTTTTTCTCAAAACTAATGACTAACATGGCCATTGGCGTGGGGCGCCTTTCGGGAAAAAGCAACCCACAAGCAGAACAACGTCTTAAAAACCACATGGATGGTGCTCATAAAAAAATGTGGGGTAAATCAATGTATTAAATTTTACAGGTGGTATCGTTAAAGGAGAATGGGGTGCACACAATCTACCCGGTGGGATATTTGCAAGAAACCCACCCTATTGGATTCAACGAAGAACCCAAAAAGGCGGTATTTTTGGTATTTTAAGTGGGGACACACCATACAAAAAAAAGGGTTATAAATAACTTTTATTTATTGTACAAATAATTTACAAATTAAATCTCTTCACCATTAAAAAACACAGCGGGTATATTAATATCACGCAATACTTCTGTACAAGTGTCATCATTTCTACATTCATAAATTAGTTCACCGTGAAAATTAAAATTTTCAAAAAGACGATACTTTAATATGCCTTTTTGTCCACAAATTGTCTTTGCAACCCTCGGTATTGTACACCATGGCGAATCAATACACCCCTCACGAGCAAGCTCAGTACACACATAAGTCAACGTGTCAAACTCGTGAAAGCACGAACCACACCCCCCGTCAAGCTCGGCACAACAATAAATTTCTTTCTCTGCAAGGTAGATCATGGGTTTATTGCAAACACATCGTAAATGGTGTGAAACAATTTGAGGGATAGATTTACGATAAGTGCATTTTTGCATAGCACACAAATAAATAGGTTGAATTTCATTCTTTAATTGTATGCTACGTTCCTTTGTTGGATCACTAACATCTTTACCGGCTGTCACACGTTCCACGGCAAGTTTCGTGTACTCATCACATCCACACTTTTCACGCGTGTGCCAAAATAAATACGGTGCGATAATTTGTACAATGGCAACATATGGTTTGCAATTTGCATCATGTGCAGCAATTTTAAAACCACATTCATCGGTACCGCATTCATAGGTCAACATCATTTCGTTCGAATCGGGACGTACACGTTTCACAACAAAAATCACTTTTTTTTCACACCCACACTCTAACCGTAAACATTCCCAACGTCCTTCATTTTTACCGTCCCGCGATTTACACACTGCGCATTTACAATACACTTCCGAATGGTAGACAACTTTTTTGGACAAATTCATTGCTGCAAATGAAAAAAAAAAAAAAACACAAACTCTTTTTCCCCAAAAAACTCACAAAATTAAAAAAACCTTAATTCAACCCTTACCCGCTACACAATCTGCCAACCAAGCATAATATTTTCCTCTGAATGCCATCATACCCTATATGGTAATTCTGTAATTTTTAAAACTTCCGGCAATACAAGTATTAATTTACTCGGACAAAAACAATCTAACCAAACATGTCTCAAACACCGTGTGCGCTATGCCCCACGTATATGAAATGCTCCTGCACGAGCAACTGTGCCGAGTGTTTGGCCGCAGTCGCAGGATATCACGCGATATATCAAACACTTCATCAGGAGAAACTACGAC